TACCTTGTTTTATCTTTAAACTCATTGCTACCTTGTTTTATCTTTAAACTCATTGCTACCTTGTTTTATCTTTAAACACATTGCTACCTTGTTTTATCTTTAAACTCATTGCTACCTTGTTTTATCTTTAAACTCATTGCTACCTTGTTTTATCTTTAAACTCATTGCTACCTTGTTTTATCTTTAAACACATTGCTACCTTGTTATATCTTTAAATAAATTGCTACCTTTTTTATCTTTAAACACAGTGTTACCTTGTTTTATCTTTAAACTCATTGCTACCTTGTTTTATCTTTAAACACATTGTTACCTTGTTATATCTTTTGATAATCTCATATAGTTTATATACAAATTTTAACAATTTTTTCAAATGTTTTTAAAATGTTATTCAATGTTATTTAAAACAAAACAAGTTAGCAACGTTTTTAAAGATCTAACAAGTTACCACAAATCTATGCAAAAAAGTGACAGGAAAAAAAAATTTCAGGGAAAAAATCTGGAAACGAAAACTTTGGTAAAAAAGTCTCAATTTTCTGAATTCCTAGGAAAAAATGTCACAGAAATAGATTTCCTGAGTTTTAGATTTCGGTGATTTTTTTCCCCTAAAATAATATGGGAGCTGCCAATAAAGTCTCAGGAAATAACATTACAGGAATTGAAGTCCTGAAAAAAAGGCCTTAGTCTTGGGAGCATGAGGTCCAGTCATAAAAAGGACTTTTCTTCTATGCACCTGCAAATGAATATAGCCAGGGGCGTTTTTAATATCAAGTCCCTTTGTTCCCATGCATTTTCCACTAAAAGAGGACTTTTTTTCCAGGTACTTTTTTTAAAATCATACTGTAATCAGAAAAAAGTCTGAAAATGGTAGGACTTTATTTCCAGAGACTTTTTATTTCAGGGACTTATAAGTGACAAAATTTAGGACTTTATTTCTGAAAACTTTTTTGCCAATTACCAGTTAACCCCCCCCCCCCCCCCATGTAATTAACCCTTTCTATGTGCAAAAAAAAATATGTGTTTATTGCCAAGTAACTTAACGTTCCTCTGTTAGAGGAGTCATAGGTCGGTAGTGTAGGTAAAAGTCAGTGAAAGATATAAAGACTCAGCAATTTAAAAAAAAGATTTAACAAGTTAACTTAATTGTTAACCTTGTTAACTTAACAATGTGTTTAAAGATAAAAAAGATGGCAATATGTTTGAAGATAAAACAAGGTATTAATGTGTTAATATGAAATATACAGCAGCCAGAGCAGTGCTGTTTTAATTCTAGTTATCCATGGTTTTAGTAAGAATTGGAATTATAGTTTTACTTCATCAAAAAAGGCTAGTTGCATGCCCCTGAGATAGATAGATATATATAAAACAGGTGTCACCATGCGGAAATGTCTGAATTACAGACTGCACTAAAAAAAATGTTATGATTAACAATTATGTTTTATGAGATTTCTTTTAGCCAAATATACAAAACTAGGCCTATAGGACGCTTCGCGCCCATCTTCTATGTGAATTGGTAACATGTTCTCTTACATTGTAAAACAAAACCAAAAAAGAAAATTGTCATTTTTTACTTTTTAACCAACTCTTTTCTATAAAACTTTTGTCTTTGATGTAATTGTTCGTTACTAAGAACGGAACGGGGGATGGAAACGTTCTTAATTAAGAACAGAACAAGAGGGATGCAACCGTTCTTCAACTAAGAACGCCAAGAACGGAACGGAACGGGAAGACCGTTCTTCTACTCAGAACGGAACGGAACGGGAGGGAACGGAACGAGAACGGAACGATAAAATAAGAGGAACGAGAACGGAACGATTTAGCTGAAGGCCCTCGTTCTAGAACGGAACGGAACGATTTAAAAAAAGTCGGAACGTGCCCAGCCCTACCGTCAGTACAATGCCCCGTATTCGTTCTATCTCATTCCGTTGAATCTTGTGGAACTTGTATAAGGCGGCCAGGCATCGTCTTCCACAATAGATAGATGGATAAAGTGTATTGCTAAAATACATGTATCTGTGTACAAAACGAGTTTACAATTACAAATTGGTGGTTATATTAACAGTACAAGTATAAAGCAATTAGCTCTTGGCTGTTTTGATTATTTTTTCCACCTAATTTCAATAATGATAACAAAACATTTCAAGTAAATAGATTAAAGAACTTTTAGAGATCAGAGTGCAATTTTATCCTATGCAAAATAAATTATACATTAATTAGAATAACTAGAGTTTAAAATAATTTTCTGACATGTACACAACAAATATCAAAGCATATCAAAACATATCTAATTAGTTTTACATGAATAGCAATTCGGTTTATAACACATTGTAATGTAATTTTCAAAAAGAGAATTTAGTACACTATTTTAAAATATACTTAGAGAGTTGCTTCTTTTTAAGTCAAGAGGCATTTAAGTATTGATCATATGGCTTACATTTTATCACATGGCTGTAGTGCTTGGTCCTGCAGCATATTCTAGCCACAAAGATGGCCCTAAAAAATGCTGTTACCATAACCCAAACCATAGTATTTGTATTTTTTTTTAATTTTTGTATTTTGGTGTATGTGATCTAAATACCTTGATTATTTTCAGTACTGTGTTGACTCTTAGGCAGCAATTGTTGTACATACACATATTGCCGTTTCAAGATTGCAAAACAGGACGGTACATGATGATGAATCATCTACTTCATGTTAGATTAATTTAAATACAGGTTTGATACTGCTGATGTTGGGTGGGGTATGGGAGGAGTTCTGTTCAGAATTAGACAAAACGTTTTGTAATTTTTTAACCTGAAACATTTCATGCAGATTTAACTAAAATAAAGTTCAGAATCTTACTTTACTTTTCAGCTTTTGATGATAAGCTTGGCACCTGAAAATTTGAGATTTTCTGCAGCGTAAATTTGAGGCCTCCTTGTAACCGGGGGCTGGGCTGGCTAGGTTTGTGTACGTTGGCCAGGGGGGCAGGCAGCCGGATTCCAGCCACCACCGGACAATAAAGACAATATTAAGGGTTCAGTCTAATCTCACACAGAGACAACTAAGGTAACCTTTTTTCTGCAAATGATATCTCAGTAAAGTAACACAGGACACTTTTCTATTCTGATCTACTGGGACCGGATTTAATGAATTTGAGCTAGGTCGCTCAACTACCTACCGCCGATTTAACTACTTATCTGTAGTGCTGAGTGTAGTTTACATCTAAGGACGTGGACAAATCTTGAATGACAGATTCAAAAGAAGTGGTTGAACCGTCTGTAGACATACAGAGTTACCAACAAAGAATGAGACTTCAGACAATACTGCACGGAATTCATGCCTTCTTTCTTTTTCAAATCATTAAATAAGAGTATACACATTCAAGGCAGAATTCTTAACAAAAACTTTGGATATTCACAGTCACTCACTTAGATTCTTCCTACACATTGCTATGACCGGATTTAATGAATTTGAGCTAGGTCGCTCAACTACCTACCGCCGATTTAACTACTTATCTGTAGTGCTGAGTGTAGTTTACATCTAAGGACGTGGACAAATCCTGAATGACAGATTTAAAAGAAGTGGTTGAACCGTCTGTAGACATACAGAGTTACCAACAAAGGATGAGACTTCAGACAATACTGCACGGAATTCATGCCTTCTTTCTTTTCCAAATCATTAAATAAGAGTATACACATTCAAGGCAGAATTCTTAACAAAAACTTTGGATATTCATAGTCACTCACTTAGATTCTTCCTACACATTGCTATGATTTCTTCGATGCCTCCAACACATTACTTCAAAAACTTTGATTCCTCCGACGCATTACTGCAATAACTTTGATTCCTCCAACACATTACTGCAATAATTTTGAGTTCTCCGACCCCTTACTACAATTACTTCGATGCCTCCAACACATTTATACACTACTTCGATGCCTCCACACATTACTGGAATAACTTTGATTCCTCCAACACAGAAAGCTATTTACTTTGATTCCTCCAACACATTTAGCTTTTCATTTTAATTCCTCCAACACATTTAGCATATTTACTTTGATTCCTCCAACACATTGAGCTACCCTTTTGGCTCTAAAAATCCCCTCGAAACTAGAGATTTTTAGAGCCAAAAGTTTCTGCACAAAAAAAGTCATCTTTGTTTTTTTCATAAAAATTCATAATGTTTTTTCTAGACTATAAGGTAATGATATTATAGCTCATTTGTTAAAGGAATTCCTTATTTTTTCAAAGAAAATAATTTTTTTTAAATCCAAAAGAATGAGACTTTAGATACGACTGTCCAAGGTACTAATGCAAGGAAAGTTAATTGCAGTTGTGTATACTCTGCGTACATATTGAAACCAGTTCTCTCTGGGCGGAATTTGTAAACAAGAAAAGATGCATCAGTGTTCGTTTAGTATCCGAGGAGGTTAAAAGAATTTAATTTTTATAATTTTGATAATTCACATAATAATTTCCTAAGACCAGAATATTTCATAGATTATTTTTGTGAAAATGGATCCCATGTCAGGCTTCGACATCCGTCTTGTGTTTACATTTCCGCCAAAAGACAGAAGACTTAGTATAAAAAATGCGTACACCTCTGAAATAACTTTCCTTGCATTAGTACCTTGAGACTGTCAGGATTTTTTAGTCTGTACACTTTATATCATAATTAGAAACAATTCAAACCAATTGTTTGTGTATCCTCTCGTGCGCCCCTATCATTTACCAAATATTCTTGTCTGCAGTACATATACACTACAAAGTACAACCTTAAACAATACATATTCGGCTTTTAATCTATAATAAACAAAGTATCGTCAGATTAAAGTTATTCGCTTAGCTACTAGTGTACGTGCTTTTGAAAATTTCCTTGATATTATGCGGGAAATTTTCAAGTTAATACCAAGAAAAAGATTGTTTAAAAATGTCCAATTTGAAACTGTTTCATTCATACGCAATTTTAGCTGCAAAATCGTTTAATTGATCAAGTGATCAATATATTTCATGGAATTTCTGACATCCCTTGATACGAACATTTATTTTTTATTTTATTTGTCTTCTCCATACTTATTAACTTTTAATTTTAAATCTCCGACCTTTAAACATTTAAGAAATACATAAAGATTTCACGTGGCCTTGATCAATCTGAAGAAAAATAAAGTTTAGCATTTTAACTATAAAAAATACTAAAAGTTGGCGATAGTCTTTTATCTTATTGAAATAAGGAACTGAACTTTTACCACAGACTCAAATTTGCTAATCCCTATATCATTACAACCTGATGATGAAAATCTAATATTTTAAACTTAGATAAAATTTGATCTAATAAAATTCTTTACAATAAGGAACTGAGTTTTTGCCACAAGTTCAAATTTTCTAATCTCTATATCTGTACAACCAGATGATGCAAATTTTTCATATTTCAAACTTATTTGATCCAGAAGAATTCATAGTTTTGAAGTATTGAAGGGTCTACGATATTTGGTTGCAAAGATATAGGGATAAGAAAACTCGGTTTCTTTGCAGAATTTATCATCAAAATATGGTCTTTCTATATTTTGCTTCAAAAGTTACCTAATAATTGATGATTTCGTTCAGATTTAGACAATTTTGGTTTTATTTAAGAAATTGAAAATAAGGTAAAGAGACAAAGAGCATTTATTTATAGCAGGGTTGACCAAACCCAATATTTTTTTGCACAAAGCCCTATATCGTCCTAGACACAAATTGTTATATAAATTTCATTATGATAGGATAAAATTTAAGCCTCTAAGAGAGAAAAATGTATGAAGTGTTTGGTTTTTTTTGACACCGTTCAGTTTCTAAGTCGGTCCTTTCTGTAACAAGAAAGATTTAGCACATTTTATAAATAGTACAGGGATAGATCATACCCAAAAAGAATGAGACTTTAATAAAACCAGGGAGCAAGGAATAGAAGGGAGAGACAACTGACGCGGTTCGCCCTACCATATGATTATACATGCTTTGCAGACGGTACTCCATTTTATTAGTTCTGTTGAACAGCAGACCAATGTTTACTTCTGGATCAGTAAGGTTAGTTCTGTTGAACAGCAGACCAATGTTTACTGCTGGATCAGTCAGGTATAGTTCTGTTGAACAGCAGACCAATGATAACTGCTTGGCATCAGCCAGGTTAGTTCTGTTAAACAGCAGACCAATGTTTACTGCTGGATCAGACAGGTTAGTTCTGTTGAACAGCAGACCAATGTTTACTGCTGGATCAGTCAGGTTAGTTCTGTTGAACAGCAGACCAATAATAACTGCTTGGCATCAGTCAGAATAGTTCTGTTAAACAGCAGACCAATGTTTACTGCTGGATCAGTCAGGTTAGTTCTGTTGAACAGCAGACCAATGTTTACTGCTGGATCAGACAGGATAGTTCTGTTGAACAGCAGACCAATGTTTACTGCTGGATCAGTCAGGTTAGTTCTGTTGAACAGCAGACCAATGTTTACTTCAGGATCAGTCAGGTTAACTTTAAAGAGACAGTCATAATTTCTAGGGATCCTTTTATAGCCAGATTCACAACAGTGCAATTTAAACCTTTATCTGTTAAATAACATGTGTAAGATCCTTTTTTAGCTTTCAAGGAACGAAAGATAATTCTAAAATATACCTAATATTTTAGTTTTGAAAGTTATAGGTTTAAGTTTAATGTATGGACGGTTGAAAAGTCAGCTTACACAAAAAGAATTGGGCGTTGTTTTGATCAGTTTTTTCAAGTTTTTTTACTTGTAGAAGGCTCCTCAAGAATCTTGATGTCCTTTATCATTTTAAACTGTATTTCCAAGGTTTTAAATAATTTCAAATTTACCGAATAAAGCTAATTATCATGAAAATGTGAATTTATGATCTCAAGAAAAACATTGCATATTTCTTAATTCTCTTAAAAATAGAAAATCTAAAATATTCAAAACTATAATAACAAAATTTATACCTCACACTCAACGATTATGATCTACAAAACTAACTAAGTTTAACTTAAATGAAGCCTTTTCTAAAGTGTTTTATTTCACTGTAATTGTGAGAGAAAAGAATCGAGTTTCTGTTTAACAAATTCAAACAGATCCTATTCATAACAGTACCTATAAAAGCATGTTTTCGCAAGTCACTTCTATACAGTAACATCATTTTAAAATAATCCATTTTTAGAGAAACATATTCGATAGCGCATTCATCCTTAAACAAAGGTTTAAAGTGTACTATTGTGAATTAAAAATACCACTTATGTCTCTTAAAATCACATCATTTCGGTATGTTCTGATATTTTCTCAAAAACCATTATTTCCTCAAAGCTGTAGCGCAAAGCTGGAGCGCCCAAAAGAACAATTTTAGTTTTTTTCTCGTTGAATTGGATAAAATAATTAATTTTGAGGAAAAATAAAATAATTTTTGAGTTAAAGTATTAAAAAAATATGCTTTTTGATGCTAAATTTTTCATTTTTCCCCAAATAATCAAAAAATTTGGAAAAAATATATATTTATTTGCAGAATGTTTGGTGTGAGTGCTGGTTTGAGGATAAAGGATGTACATGTTGCGATCCCTGAAAATTTCAGGAAATTGAAGCAGAAGCAGAAAGCATTCTCTTTAGATGATGGACTCAGGTATGAATAATAACCCCTTTCCCAGTTGATATAAGGAGGAAGCTGCAATGTTTATATACAGGGTCCATAAGAAGGAAGCTGCAATGTTTATATACAGGGTGCACAAGAAGGAAGCTGCAATGTTTATATATAGGGTGTATAAGAAGGAAGCTGCAATGTTTATATACAGGGTGCATAAGAAGGAAGCTGTAATGTTTATATATAGGGTGCATAAGAAGGAAGCTGTAATGTTTATATATAGGGTGAATGAGAAGGAAGCTGCAATGTTCATATATAGGGTGCATAAGAAGAAAGCTGCAATGTTTTTATACAGGGTGCATAAGATGGAAGCTGCAATGTTTATATATAGGGTGCATGAGAAGGAAGCTGCAATGTTTATATATATAGGGTGCATGAGAAGGGAGGTGCAATGTTTATATATAAAGAGTGCTTGAGATGGAAGCTGCAATGTTTATATATAGGGTGCATGAGAAGGGAGGTGCAACAGACAAAATACTTTACAACATCTCTGGCCTTATTGTTCTTATTGGTTTCGTCGAGTGGTGCAGGTATGTAAATTTTGCACTTGAAAAAAAATACTGAATCAAAAAAGTCCATTCTCTTTTGATCGAGGCAATGTTATTAAAATACTGAATGACAATGAAAATGTATGATAAATATTAACACCACAGATTGGGCACTTAGAAATATCAAATTTGAAATGTATTTTGTTCAATACAAAGCTTGTGCATCCCATAAAAAGTATTAAAAGGACTATCAACGGCATTTAGGTGACCCCTAAATCTAAGAAGTTACATACTAACTTTAAACCTTGTCTGTGCAAACATGAGGGAGATATTCAAACTTTTAATTGCGGGTTGATACACCGGAGACAAAATCTATCTCAGTAATTTAGAAAGACGCCGATATCTTGTTAATAGTTTCTCATTTAAATATTGGATACTGTTGTGAATCTGGTATGTAACTTTTAAGAACTGATAGTTTCTTAAAATTACGTCACTAGCCTTCTGAAAGTTTTACAAAATTTATTTAACAATTTTGTTCAGGGTTGTGTGGACCCTGGCTTACTTTATTTAACAATTTTGTTCAGGGTTGTGTGGACCCTGGCTTACTTTATTTAACAATTTTGTTCAGGGTTGTGTGGACCCTGGCCTACCCCGACTGGAAAACCTTCCTCACCAAGAACTGAAGAAACTAAATATAATTCTTCAAATATTTTCAAAGATGTCAAAGGAGTTGAGTCTTTGCCACAAACTCTGATTTTCTAAACCCTGTATTTTTGCAACCCAATGTTGTAGACCATGGATATTTCAAAATATGAATTATGGTAGATCAAATCATCTAAGTTTGAAATGTTAAAAGTTTAAACCATCTAGTTGCAAAGATATTAGAATTCGAAAATTTGTCTTTGTGGCGAAGACTCAATTCCTTGTAGCCAAAGCGTTGATATTGCCAGCATTCCTGGCATTATCTTTACTTTACTTTTGGTTTGTTAAATATACATTTATAGAGCTGTGATGTTTAGTTTTAATCAAGAAAATAAAACTGTTTTAATTTATTTTTTAACTCTGATTTTAATCCCATCTCAGCTGGGTAATTCATAACCATTAACCATGGGGGGGATACATTGTTTTAAAACTCAGAAAATTTGAATAACCTCGTAAATGAAACCAGAGAGGGTGGAGGTTGTAGGGGCCAGGGGGGGGGGGCCTAACTATTGTGTGATTAACTGAAGAACAATCAGTTCAACACTAATATATTCTTTTAATTCTTAACAAAATGATGCGCAGATAAAAAGACGATATAGTTTGATTCAAGGGAAATCAAATTACTGTGTTGAATTATTAGGCTGATTGATTTCTCAAGAACAACCAATAGAAATTATTATTTTACCCTTGAAACCTTCTGATCAATAAATATTGTTTAAAATATTGTTAAGTGTTTAATTTTGACAATTTCGATATGTTTCCATGCAGTAAAAATGCGCAACTCTCTTAAGGAGAGAAATAACGGTTAACAATTTTTTGCCGAGATTTTTCCTTGTTTTGTTTGATTAAGGTTTAACTTCAAGTTTAATCCCAAACGCAGCTCAGTGAGGAATTAAACTTGAATTTAAACCGAAAACAAACAAATAAATAAAAATCGCAACAAAAACAAAATGTCCTAAAAGATAACGCAAGGTATTTTGATTTATAGATTTATTCAATTCAATCTGATTGAAAAATGTGTGAATATTTTAATGAAAACCCGCGAAATATGAAAGGAACCAGTTATAAAATGTTACTTATTTTCCTGGAAACTAAAAAGAAACTTTTCATACCCAAGATCATGAAATTGCGAGTAAAAATGCGGGATAAAAATTCTCCAAACATTTAATGAAAAATTAATTTTAACTAAAAGATTATATTTAATTTTAATGTTCTCTCAATTGTTCAGTAAGACATGATAGTAAATCATAATTGAATGCTTGTTTGTTTATACCTTTAGCCGGATAGTGGTTAGCAAGGTACTAATGCAGGGAAAGCTAATTGCGGTCGCGTATACCCTGCGTACATATTGAAACTAGTTCTCTCTGGGCGGACTTTGTAAACAAGAATAGATGCATCAGTGTTCGTTTAGTATCCGAGGAGGTTAAAAGAATTTAATTTGTATAATTTTGATAATTCACATAATAGTTTCCTATGACCAGAATATTTCACAGATCATTTTTGTGAAAATTGATTCCATGTCAGGCTGTTACATCCATCTTGTGTTTACTTTTCAGCCCAAAGACAGTATACCGTAGTACAAAAAATGAATACACCTCTGAAATAACTTTCCTTGCATTAGTACTTTGGTGGTAAGGATCTATGGTCTGGTTAAGATCTATGGTCTGGTTAGGATCTATGGACTGGTTTGGATCTGTGGTCTAGTTGGGATCTGTCGTCTGGTTGGGATCTGTGGATTGGTTAGGATCAATTGACTGGTTAGGATCTGTACTGGTCAGGATCAATGGACTGGTAAGGATCTATGGACGACTAGTATAGATCTATGGACTGGTTATGATCAATGGAATGGTTGGGATCTATGGTCTGGTTAGGGTCATTTGGACTGGTTAAGATCTATGGTCTGGTTAAGATCTATGGTCTGGTTAAGATCTATGGTCTGGTTGGGATCTATAGTCTGGTTGGGATCTATAGTCTGGTTGGGATCTATAGTCTGGTTAGGATTTATGACCTGGTTAGAATATAGACTTGTTAGGATCTGTGGCCTGGTTGGGATCTATAGTCCGGTTAGGATCAATGGTGGTAAGGATCTATGGCCTGGTTAGAATATATAGACTTGTTAAGATCTATGGTCTTGTTGGGATCTATAGTCCGGTTAGGATCAATGGTGGTAAGGATCTATGGCCTGGTTAGAATATATGGACTTGTTAAGATCTATGGTCTGGTTGGGATCTATGGCCTGGTTAGAATCGACGGCCTGGTTAGGATCTATAGACTTGTTAGGATCTATGGTCTGGTTGGGATCTATGGTCCGGTTAGGATCAATGGTGGCAAGGATCTATGGCCTGGTTAGTATATATGGACTTGTTAAGATCTATGGTCTGGTTGGGATCTATGGAACGGAGGATAAAGAGTTGGAGTCATAGAAACCTGAAGAGAAACTTGGGAAGGAGAATATAAAGAACGTGGTTAGAGCGGTATATTTCCTTACTCTTCGCACAGCCTTTAAACCTGAACTGAACAATACAAAAATGAAATTAACTTAATGTGACATTTAACAATGGAAACCAAGTCCGATAAAATTCCTTTTATAGTTCAACCTTGTCTTTTCCTAATCTTCCTCCTTTTCCTTGTTTCCTCAAATGGGTTAACTTACATCTTACGGTCCTACGGGAAGACCATGTGTCCGACCAATGTCAACCTGATTATCCTTCTCAACTCTTACGTCATTGAGATGTACAACATCTCCATCAGTATTGTGGTAAGGTTTAAGTACTTTTAAATACTTTTTCAAGAATTTTAATATTTAGATAGAGTTGTTTTTTGGTCCAAATTCGAAAAAAAAATTAGATCATACAGTGATAACCAGAAAACTCTGGAATAGGAAGACGACCTCTAGAATTCCAATAGCATGAGCATGAGAAATATCAATAAGTATCGATTTAAACAATGCTCTGTAACAACATCAAATACAGGGTGTCCCAATAAACATGGGAATTCAGTGACGAATTCGATATCGTCTTTTCAAATAATTCTTTGATTAAGTATGTATCACCTCGCTTAAACTTCAAATAGATAATAAAGATATAGAAAGAGTAGGAACTGGTTCATTTAGACGAAAATCTTAACTGGAACCATCATCTTAAGGTGGTTAAAAACAAAGCATCCAGTGCAGTTTTTGCTTTGTCAAGTGTAAAAAATATTCTTCCTAGTAATATTAAACTAACCATTTACAACTCTTTATTTCGATCATTTATTGAATATGGAATTTCAGCCTGGGGATGTAACAAATGTTCAGAAATGAAACAAATTCACATTTTACAGAAACGAGCAATACGATTAATTGATAACTCAAAAGCCACGTCTCATAGTGATCCTCTTTTCCTTAAGTATAAGATTCTAAAGATAAATTATCTGGTAGACTTTAACCAAGCTATATTTATGTATAAATATACACATAAACTTCTTCCTGCATCTTTTGAAAATATTTTTAAAAAGCTTGGAACCTTTGAAAGATCTCTTAACTATCAACTTGATATTCTCAAAATGTGCTCATTACAGTATTTACCATCAAGCTCTCTTCTTAAGATGTGGAATAACCTGCCTCTTGACTTAAAAAAGAAGCAACTCTCTAAGTATATTTAAAAATAGACTAATAAATTCTCTTTTTGAAAATTATAGGATAATGTGTTATAAACCGAATTGCTATTCATGTAAAACTAATTAGATATGTTTTAATATGCTTTGATATTTGTTGTGTACATGTCAGAAAATTACTTTAAACTCTAGTTATTCGAATTAGTGTATAAACTATTTTGCACATGATAAATTTGCACCCTGATCTCTAATCGCTCTCCTTAAATCTATTTAACTGAAATATTTTGTTATTATTACTACTAACATTAGGTAGAAAAAATAATCAAAACAGCCAAGAGCTATTTTCCACCTAATTGCTTTATACTTGTACTGTTAATATAATCATCAATTTTGTGATTTTAAACTCTATCTGTATACAGATACATTTATTTTAGCAATAAACTTTATCTTATCTTATCTTATCTTATAGTGATACCTACTGGGAAAGCTGTAATCTGTAAGAGTTTCGTCTGCTATGTTCACATTTTGTTAGTTTATGTTTTGACTGCAAACGGTTGTACTTAGTAAAACAAAAAAATTGCAGTATACAAACTTGTCCGTCTTCACTGTTCATCTTGCGGATACATTATTGACACATCTTTAAAGCCATTTACCGTTTTCATAAATTAAACTCTAGCAGACATAATTAAATTATGGCTTTTGAAATTAGGTATTACAATGCTAATTCATAACAAAGACGATATCAAATTCGTCACTGAATTCCCATGTTTTTTGGGACACCCTGCACACTAATGTACAGCTAAACTGTCGTCTTACTATTCAATTGTTTTCTGGTTATCATTGTAATAAAGCTATGTAGATAATTTCTAAATCTGTATACATTGGATTATAACTTGGTTCGATCTGATTTTTGAACATTCAGGGGGTTTGAACTTCTTCTAAATAAAGTTCTAAAACTGTGGTCAGTTGAGGTGTCCTTTAAATTTACTTTGCAAGATTGTGCATCAGATAGTTTGGAAGAGGGTAAAATTTCTGCATAGTATAAAAAGCAAACTTTTATAATATTTTCCTTTTAAACTACCAGAAAATGTAGATATCTTATGAAATAATTATGTTTCAGATAAACATAATTTCAACTGTGGAGTTAATACGAGTTAAATAAATAACAGCAGATTTTTGGAGCATTAGTTGGATTTGCAATTTAGAGCATTAGTTGGATTTGCAATTTAGAGCATTAGTTGGATTTGCAATTTAGAGCACTAGTTGGATTTGCAATTTAGAGCATTAGTTGGATTTGCAATTTAGAGCGTTAGTTGGATTTGCAATTTAGAGCGTTAGTTGGATTTGCAATTTAGAGCATTAGTTGGATTTGCAATTTAGAGCATTAGTTGGATTTG